CAAAATTTTCGCTACCGGTTCTCCAGAATCTGTCAGAACCTCTCCAGCACCTGTCAGAACCTGCTGGATCACCACCCGAGTATGTCTTCATGACCAGATTCAAAAAATGTATGCATTTTTTAGTCAGAACCCGATTTGGTCATGGTCAGAAGTGTTTGCGACCAGAGGTTCTACTGTAGTTAGCTTCCACCCATTGCTTGTTGTCCTGCCTTCTGGTGCTTTGGAAAATAAATGGACCCCCTCTTTTTTGTGGAAACCCCTCAGATACTGGAACACCACAATGATGTCACTCCCAGTTCTTCTTTTTAGTAGATTAGACAAGCACAATTCCTGCACCCGTTCTTCATATGCTTTAGCCTCCAGTCGCCTAATCATCTTCGTTGCTGCTCTTTGCACTCTTTCTAGAATCTCAACATCCTTTTTATATTGTGAAGACCAAAATTGGATGTAGTATTCTACGTCTGGCCTTACCAAACCCTTCTAAAGCAGTAGTAACACTTATTGTGACCTTGATTCTATCTCTCTGTTAATGCAGTCTAGGATTGCATCGGCTTTTTTTGGCAGCTGCAGCAGAGTGCCACATGTCAAAGCTTAAATCCCTTTATTTACCAATGTGCTTATTGTCTCTGGATCTAAAGGAACCAATTGCCTGGGCTGATCGCTGCCCTGACACTTAGCACAAGAGTATTTAACCTAGGTGGCATTGATCTAGCAGTTGACTCTCACTTTGTTAAGGTGTACTTATCTCTGACGATTTATGCTCCAAAACTCACTGTAACACAGTTGCTGAAAAAGCATTAAGAGTTGTAAACTTAATTTTGTGAAGCTTTTTTCCCCTGGAAATATTGTATTGCTAATTAGAGCTTATAAAACTTAGGCTAGACCAAATTGAGAGTATCATTTGGAATTCCTACCCTATATCTGACATGAGTGCAATCAAACGGGTTCAGAAGTACTTCATGAGAAAAGTCTTTCACTCTGCTGTACACAGTAGAATTCCTTATGCTCCTAGGCTCAACATCCTCGGTTTGGATAACTTAGAACTGTGTCGTTTGCCGTCAGACTTATGTACTGCATACAAAATTGTATGCAGTAATGTTTTACCTGCAAATGAGTTTTTCTGTTTTAATCGCAATAATATGCCTGCGAACAACCCCTTTAAGCTCAGTGTAAATCATTCTAAACCTGACTGTTAAAAATATGATTTCGGGAACAAAGTTGTCAGAGTCTGGAATGCCCTACCTCCGTGATGGACAGGTGGCACGTGGAGCCATTTGTCCGGGCACACGAGGCATTGCCCTGTCAGCTGGCCCATCTGACTTCGGCCTTCTTTTGAGGCCATTTTTTGCCCGCCGGAGGCTTCAGGAACTTCCCTGAAGCCTCCGGAGCATGAAAAACCGGCCCTACGAGCAAACTGGAAGTTTGGGAATGTAATTCCAGTTTGCTTATAGGGCCGGTTTTAGGCTCTGGAGGGCTAAAACTGGCCCTACGAGCAAACCAGAAGTCCGTTCCTGAACTTCCGGTTTGCCAATAGGGTCAGTTTTTCGCACTCCAGAGGCTTCACAGAAGCTCCTGAAACCTCTGGAGAGCCTCTAGCGGGGAGGGGGAGGCTGTTTTAGCCCGTACCAGACTCCTATAAAGCCTCTGGAGCCTGGGGAGGGCAAAAAAAAGCACACCAAAAATGGGGGGGGAGCGCTGGTCATGTGCTCATGCGTGCTGGGGTCGTGCGCATAGCATTATGGGCGTGGCACACCTGCGCACGACCCTCCTGCGCTCTCCCAGCTTTTGGCACGTGAGCCACAAAAGGTTCGCCATCACTCCCCTACCTGCTTCAGTTGTCTCAGCTACAAATTTTCAGTTTCAGTCGTAAACTGACTTCCGTGGACCTTACTGCATACTTAAGTGGTCAGTCTTCATGCATGAAAAGCTCAGTGCTAGTTGTCTTTTGAAAAGGAAGGGGCACCCACAGAAAAGGGCACCCCGGAATCGCATCATACTGTTTCTCAGTCCCAAAATCCCCACTTGAGATTGCGGGGGGGGGGGGGAAACGACACTCACCGCACATGCTGTGTTCTCACTGTCTGACAGCCGTTGATGCAAGTCAAACCAAAGAGTCTGTTGAGGGGAAAAAGGAAATATTAGTAATATTTTCATGGAAATCGAACCTGGCAGGAGAAGGAAGAAAGGAAGAAAGAAAGCAGCTGGCTAGTAATTTCTGCCATGGAAACCCGAGATGCAAATTGGGGATGAAGGGCTTTGGATCTCATCTATGTGATTGGCAGTAGGCCAGAAAAGAATTTCTCTCTAATCTCCCAATTACTAAAACAGAGCAGTCCCCTTGGCTGAACCTCTGGTGGAGAAAAAGGCTTTGGAGAGATCCTTTTCCCTTGGGAAAATGCAACCATCTGCAACAAGGAGCTATTCCCCTTACGGAGGTCTGGTAATTTGTACAATTTTAAGTGGAGATATTCACCTGCAAAAAAAAATAAATCTGGGCATATACACCTGCTGTGAAGGAAATCAGGAGGGAAAAAGTATCAGATTTGTATGGAAGCTCATAGCCCTAATGCATGCCTAGAAAGAGGGAACAATAGAGATAATACACCTCTGCCTTAATAGAAGAGAGTATTTGTAGCTCTGGACCATAAGGAAGGCTGAGCTCCAAAGAATGGAGGCCTTTGACTTCTGATGCTGGAGAAGACTCTTGTGAGTCCTTTTCTATCTATCTTTCTATTCTAAAATAGACTTATATACCGCTTCATAGGGCTTTCAGCCCTCTCTAAGCGGGTTACAGAGTCAGCATATTGCCCCCAACAACAATCCGGGTCCTCATTTTACCCACCTCAGAAGGATGGAAGGCTGAGTCAACCCTGAGCCGGTGAGATTTGACCCGCTAAACTGCTGATCTAGCAGTCAGCTGAAGTAGCCTGCAGTGCTGCATTTAACCACTGTGCCACCTCGGCTCAGACAACTGCAGAAGATATGTGCTGATTGGAATCTGCAGGGTTGCTCCCTCTACTTCTGTATTCCTAGAGCAGTGTTTTTCAACCTTTTTTGTGCAAAGGCACACTTTTTTCATGAAAAAA